TGTAAAATGTAATTTAATTGCAATTTAAAAGCTGAAAAACGCCCCGAATGGCAGCTGCCATTGAGGGGTTTGGGCTGTTGCCTTTGTGTATATTCAAATGCGAGTGCAGCATCACCTCAGGTCAAACAGCGATAAGCGCCAATTGCTGCGGTTGCGCTGCTAATTGCATATGACAACAAATTGAGTCTGGCCGATAAGATTTACGCTATGTGGATAAAGTTGATGCATAGAAAAATAGAAATTCTATATAGATTTTAAATATTGTCACTAAACTGTTTGCGCGCGTCTGATCACGTTCTGTTCTATTATAAATTTATTTTAGCATAATTTATTTTCTGTGCTGCTGTTGAACAACCAGAATATTTATTAAATTTGCAAAGCATTCTTTATTTTTATAAATATTTACTGAGTACGATAAATTTAATTAAAACTTTATTTAACCGGTTGCTATCTGTTTTAGTTTGGCTAAAATAGAAAAAATACAAATCTCAGTGCATATCATATATCAGTCATTAACATTTCTGGCACGCAAATGCACCCACACACGCGCACACTCGAACACACACACACACACACACATAGAGTTACGGCTGAGCTTTGTTTTGGCTGCCGTCTAATTTACATGCAACGCGCAATGGCAAAATATTTATGCACAATTAAAGCAAGTAAAAGGGAAGGAATAAATTTACAGCACAAGCACACACACACATACACACACTAAGCAGCTGCCCATTTAGCTGTGCTATAAAAAAAATGCAAATGACATTTAAACCAAAATGCGAAACGAGCCAAAAAAAAAAAAAAAAAAAACGAAAAAAAATAGAGGAAAAACTGAACATGTGATTGCAAGTTTCCTCTTTCCCTTTAAGGCACCCCTTGCACACACACACACACACACACACATATACACATACACCCAGACACCGCTCACCGCACATACTCTTTTTCCTGATTCTGCCTTATTTCTTACTATGAGCCACATAGTTGACCCACATTTGCTCTCTGCTTCGCTCGCATTACCAACAAATATTTGCGACCGAGGTTGGCTCTCTCTTCTTCTTCCGCTTCTTCTTCTTCTGGTTTTGCGGCGAGTCCCTGGTCTTAATGTGCATTAAACCCATGTGTTCCATGTTATTGTTGTTATTATGCAGCGTGTTGTTTTTGCTGCTGTTGTTGTCGTTGCATTGCGCTAATTAAGTGGCTTTACATTTGCCCTGAAATCCTGCGGCCTGCATTTCTCCTTCCCCTTTCAAGCTTCACTCTGGGCTTTGGTCTTTACTCATGTCGTCGTATTTCTTTTTTATTGTTATGGAATTTTCTTAGTTGTTAGCCGCGTGCTCTAAAAATTTCATAATTTTCTTTTGGAATTTTGGCTGCCAGTTAATTGGATTGACATTAGGCCAAAGGACTTTACTTTTCTATTACAAAATTCTTGTCGCTAGGTGTTTATTTAGTTAAATATATTTCATATTTAATTTTTGTTGATTTTTTTTTATTCATTCTCTTAGGTTGCAGTTTGCTCTGATATTATTCATTCTCATTTCAAGAGCCTTGGAGTGACTACAAATAATAATTATATTATATTTGGTCAGTTTTTACGATTTGTCGACTTTATTAAATTAATTGCAGCCCTCTAGGGTATGCTATTAATAGGTTGCATTAAAGAAACCTTTACCGTTTATTAAATGCAGCAAATGTTTCTAAATTTGCATCTTTTTTGGGTACACAAATTAAATGCGCTGACAAATGGCGCAAATTTGTCGTTAAAATAAGAGCACACACACACACACACACACACGCACACACACACATACATACACGCATAAACGCATCCTATTTCTAAGGCTGCAGTAAAAACAGCAACAAATTTGCGAAATGTATTTTAATTGCAAATTTCATGGTTGTTGCTGTTGTTGTTGTTGTTGTTTTTATAGCCAGCATTTGCATGCCAATTGCCAACAAATTAAAATAGACCAAGCCAAAAATGAAATTGCATCTAATGACAATGCACACACACACACACACAGAGTTGCACGCATGACACACCTATATACCATGCATTTGGAAAATGTGCAAATTCGGGGACTATTGCTATAGCTCGATGGGCGGAGATTCGGGGTAACAATGACTGAGAGAGCAACCTATGCTCGCTTACAAATGAGCCACCAAAATCCGTTAAAATTTCGACGCATTGCTAAACTAACGAGCGACATTGTTTAATGATGACAATCATTAGATGCGATAATGCAAATGAAGTCAGCTGGATATGCCAGACATAACGCATAGGTGGAAATAGAGAGCGATAGCAGCCTTCTGCCAGAGTGAAAGAGATAGAGTATAGAATGAGAGAGAGAGAGATAGAGGGAGATAGAGGGAGTCAGTTCTGGGGTCTTCTGTTAACTGCTATGGTGCACCACAAGAAAACTAAAAGAAAATACTGCACAAAATTTGCATGCGAATGATACATGGGCATCTAACAACAATACAAATGTGGCTAAAACAGACGCATGACGGCTACAGCTGCAATTTTTCACAGCACCCTGTGGCACACTGGTGAAACATCAATTTATTGTCATTCAAATGTTGCACTATTGGAACTATAGAAATTAGAAATCAAAGTATACCTTTTCTCGTTAGCTCAGATATATAGCTCGTAATGGTTTAAAACGAATATTTTATTAACTTTCCAACTACATATAACACATAAATTATTAATATTTGAATAAGTTTCAAGCTCCTCTGCCTAGTTCACTTTTAACTTCATTTCAACTACCCTCGCCCCACTGTGCAGCTGTGGTCCCTATCGCTTTAGGAATATGCATGTTTATAATGCATACGTTGGGCTGTCTGGGCGTGTCAAATGTGGGCGTTGACAGCAGCAGCAGCAACAGTGACAACAACAACAACAACAACAACACCAGAAATAACGACAACGCTGATGACGTGCGGTTGTCATTAGGGTTCTGCTGGCGAGTCGGACTCGAGCTGGGTCTGTTGATGACGTTGTTGTGGCGTCACGTTAGAGCCCCAACCAGTCGAAGCCTCCATCCCCCTAACAGAGTCGGGCCTAATGCCCCTTATGCAACCCATTTGCAACACTGACCAACCGACCGCTGTTCTTCCTGTTGTTTTGCATGGGTTGTCGCAGTCGGTTGTCGCTGCTGTTGTTCGTTGGTGTCGTCATCATTGTAGCTGCGATTCGTACAGCGGGGCTGAACATAATGGAGAGACCGCACGGCGACCAAAATGCACACAACATGAACAATCGACCAAGCTGTAAGGCACGATGTTGTGGACGGGCGACAACCCTGGCCAAGGCAATGTCCGACCTTTTATTAGGCGTTGATTTCATGTACGCCTCGGCCCGTCTGCTTTAATTGAAGGTTGCAGCATTGAAATTATGCACAGGCTGTTGCATATTTCGTGCTGAAATGAGTTTATTTCCAGTTCGACCATATAATAGAGGTGTGGTCTATATTAAGGGTTGCCAAGGACGCCCAGCCAATGCGTGTGCATAATTGCCTTCAGCCTTTAGGCATTGACCAAGCATTACAAATTCCCTTTGAATTTGATATTAATTTCCTTTCTGTGAAACTTTAAAGCCCTACTAGATGTCATTTTCTTTGATAACCGTAGCTTATGTTTTATTAGTTGGCTTTCCTTTTATTCTAATGGCTTACGTAATTTGAGCCTGGGCAAACAGATTGCCTTCTATTTTATGCAAATCCCAATCAGAAACTTTTTGTGCATTTTAGGCATCTATTGGATCACTCAGTTTACCCCACTTGGTAATGGCATTTTGATGACATTTTTTGCATGCCGAAAATGTTGCCAATGCTGCAAATATATTTTGTTGCATGCATTGACGGCAGACAACATTGTCAACTAGGCGTTTCCCAACAGGCAGCGCTTGGCTCTCAGGATTATCCTGGCAATTAGTGTGATCATGTAAATAGATTTGGGTAATTTGATGGGAAAGAGTGACCATTCGCTTTCCACTTAACGGCGAGATATTCAATGGGAAAAAAAGCGAGCCAGGGTTGCCACAACTCAAAAAGTGAGTTATCATGCAAGCACTTTTCTAATTACGATTTTGGGGTGCGGCTTCACTCGCAGACTCCGGCTCAGTTTGTGTGTGTACTGACTCTGGCAGGCAGGCAGGCAGGCAGGCGGGATGGTCCAGAGCCAGGACAACATTAGCTCGGGCAGATTTCCCTGCAGGCCAAAGGCTGAATTTGCCCTGTTGTTGTTGTTGTTGTTGTTATCGTTGTTTGCTGTTGCTTCTGTTATGGATGCAACTTTAAATTGCTTTGCCAGTGAGTTTTTCTAGCAGCACTCTCAACTCCTGCCTTTCTCTCTCTCTCTCTCTTTGTCTCTTTCTCTAGCTCTCTCTTTCGGTGTGTCTCTTTCGGTCCCTGGTGTAGGAAGCTGACAATGCAGATGAGCCCCGACTGGTCTCTTCTATGCACTCTTTTCTCGTTCCTGCGGGAATCGCATCAGTGCTCTGATTGCGCATCGCTTCAAAATTTCACAGAGGCAAGCCCCAAAATGCCTGAGTGCGTAATGCGTTTTCCGGCAGCAGCCCCAGGAGAGAGTGTGGATGCGCCTGGATATGACTGGGCTGTTGTTGCCACATCTGACGATATAGTGATAAAGTGCAGACATTTGACAAATTAACTGCTTTGCGTCGGAAATGTTGTTGCAACATTCGACGGGAACAGCAGCGGCAACAGTAACAACAATAATAAATTCGATGCCCCCAACATTGAGGGAGTCCGCGTCGCCACTCAACTCCATCGCAAACAAACAGAAGCCAAACGCGATATTGTGCGCTCTGATTGATTTATGAAGCCAGACAACGCTGCGAGCGCTAAGCCCCGAAGGTGTTAGACCATTGATATACGAGCATCAACAAAAGCCAAAAACTTTAAGGCATATAACATACAAAAGTAATAACAAATTAAACTTAAAGTCAAATGAAAAATGAAAAAGTATCTTACTTGATTCTGACTCAAAGCAAGCGAAAGCACATCGTCACTTACCTAAAATAAAAAGAGATAGATAGAGAAATATTGAATTAATAAATGTATTACTTTATATTATCAGACATAAAGTAAATAAAATCAATAAAAGACGCTTTAAATTAGACATTTGAACTGCGGAGCCAGCTAAATTATTAAACATTAAACGGCATTGGGGTTTGTTTAATAGCAAGTCATATAGCTAACCATCGATTACTTCAATGGCGTAACAACAGCTGGAAATGCGATATAAGGCAACGTACCCACGGTCACAGAGCAGACTGGGAGCATAATGAAATGGGGCGAGAATAAGAAATTGTAGCACAGCAGCAGGTGCTCTATATGTGTACATACATGTATTAGGTCGTAAAATGCACGCTTAACACACACATACACACACACACATACGCACGTACACATGAAGGGACATAAAACTATTGAAATTGGTTTATAAACATCTGGCCGGAAGTGGGAGCCCCGCACTAAGCGCTACAGTTTCGAGACTAATGCCACAGCCACAAAAGCTGTGCCCAGCGACCTTGGACCGAACTCTGGCTACTGCCGGCTGGATGGCTGGCTGGCTGACATTAGAGTCGCACAAAGTTTGACACATGTCAAACAAGGCAACCGAGAGCAGCGCGAACAAAGCCAGACAAAAGCTCGTAGATGCCTAGCACACCTGAATGATGTACGAGAGGAGAGGAGAGGAGAGTCGTAGTCCATAGAAGATCCTGTTGGCTACTGTCGCGGCACGAACGAACATAAAAATCAACAGTTTATGGCCGACGCAGGTCCTTGAGTGACAAAAGTGGCAGCGTCGAAGCACGGCTGCTGAGGTTAACTCTAGGCTCATCCACACACACACACACACCCACACAATCACACAGACACACATTGCTCCTTGCTCGCATCCCCCTTTAGGTCCCGCAGGACATGGCAAAAGTTGTCGTCTGGTTTGCATCGCAGCTCCTTGGCAAATGTCTTGCCATCTATTTGCATTTTCTATTTATTTCTTTATCCCTTTGGCAAGCCGAATCGACGGCACTTGAGTTTGGCAGCCATTAGTGGCACGTCCTTGTCCTTGTCTCTGTCCTGCCGTCCTTGTTATTCCTGCTGCTGTTGCTGTCCCAGAGTCCTCGCCTCTTTGTATTTTCCACTTTGGCACTCATATTTTATTAAGTAGCAAAGTTGACAGGGGATTTAAGGCCTGCCCCTCTTCCATCCACTCACGCTCTCTCTCTCAAGTAGATTCAAGTGGAACTGTCATTTTGTAAAGTAAATATTGGTAATTTTTATTGAGGACTTTCCCTGCCATGCTCCCAAATGCGACCTTCGGGCTTATCTCGAAAGAAACAAAATCATGGCAAATTACAAATATAATATTTAGTTGTGGAGATGAAAAACCTGAGATCGAACCCAACTCATGCCAGGGAGCATTAACTAATAACCGAAAGTGATTGTAGCTAGAGACTTAGAAACACATTTCATATTTCCAATCTCACTCTTAACCCTAGACCTCCCCACCCACCTCCCCTTGCAAACTTTGTTACGCAACGCATCGTTGGGCTCAAAAATTGTATGTTTGCATGTGTCTGTCTGTGTGTGTGTGTGCTCGTACGAGAATGCAGCAGACCGTAAGAGACAACATAAGCGATAACAAGTATTTTTGGCCAGTTGCTAAGCAGCCAACCCTCATATGGAAAGGGGTGGAGGAAGGTAGACAGCCATTGGGAGAGCTTGCTTTAACCTCTGCCAGAAAGCATCAATAGAACAGGTGTTGCAAGAGGGGTATACGACGTAAAAAATGTATTGCATACTTTGGGGAGTCGTGAAATTAAAAGTGAGTGCTGTCTTTATATGTTAAAACATTTACCTGAGCATATATGGATGCGAGTTTCGACTTAATTGAAAGCCTTCTTATAAATTGCTAGCCTAACTTTGTCAATAAAGCGCTATAAATCAAACTGTAGCACAATGAAAATTCGTTTCTTTTAATATAAACACATTTTTTTTTTTTTTTAGCATACTTTCGTATTCATAAAGGTTCCAAGAGCTTTTGGCACACATCATTTAACTCGGGCGGTTCTCAAACTCTGCCAAAAACCTCTTCAAACAGCTGCCTTTCAATTTCAATCAGCACACAATTCAACGCTAATAGCTTTTCTCCAGTTAGGAAAAGCAGGAAATTTTCCAGAGGTCTGTTAGGTTTGAGCGTTTGCTATTTACTTTTCACACAAATTGTTATAAAATATTTAAAAATCATGCTTGAAAGAGCTCTGGAGCCGCAACGAACCTTGAAAGCGAACCTCGTGAGTCTGGGCAATATTTGGGAAGGTAAATACTAAAAAAAAAAAAAAATATATGTAAAGATTTTCAGGCACGCAGCAGCATTTCAACGGCTGCCGTTTTATATGTCGGGCCTATTATATATGCACACATGTGCGTATGCCTGTGTGCCTCGGGAGACTTTAGGCTCATAACAATGGATATATATGTATATATGAATAAACTCAATATATATTCCGACTCTGGCATTCGCATGAATATTTCAAGTGCAGTGAAAATAAATTGCACAAAATATGCATTTCAATTTCTGTTAGTGCAGTTAGATAAAGTTAAAAAAAAAATTTATCTGATAAATATATTTGTAATACTTTCAAGGTAAGCAGAAAAATACATATTTATTAGATCATTATATGATTAACAACTGTGTTTTAGTATTTGTATTATGTACAAGCCTCAGTAATTTGCATGTCAAGATTGCTTTATCCCACTTGATTGTCGTAAAACATATGGCGGTATTAACGGGGCTTGTTTACTAAATTTGTCACGTTTTATTTGTATCGTTCAGCGTTTTGAAATGGGACAAATTAAACTTAATCAGCCATCAATGAGGCTGGAAAAAAAAAAAACCATTCGGCTCAAATTATTCATGACGTTTCGGGTGTAAATTTTCATTGTTCTCGCTGTGACATTTTTGACGCATTCGACTCAAGGCAATAAACATATTTTATTTGTTTCTGTGGTAGACGATTTAAGGGTCCGTAGCACGTCTCAGTCATTTCCATGCGATTAGTAGGCTCAAAAATTGGCATTAAACTTTTATAAATGGCCTGACAATCTTTATTTTTATTTATTCGCGCGCCAAACGCTTTCAATTCAACGTAAAATGGCGACCAGCCAAAGTAACGGAAGACAGCAAGCGCAAAAAATATGAAAATAAAAAAAAGTTGCCGTCAGACGCAGCCGTTTTCCGTTTTCCATCTTTTTTTTTTTTTTTTTTTTTGACAAGTGGAAAATCAGCTTCCGGCGCCTTTTTATGCTGCGCCCCGGCAAGTTAAGAGCGCAGCAAACCTGAGCAAAGTCTGCAGTTGAAACAAATTTAATTTTCTACTTTTTGGCGGCTGCCAGACAAATAGAAACAAGCCGCAAAAGCCGCCAAGAGACGCCTGCGGCTGACGCACAGCGAACCGGCTACGGCAGCTTCTTTCTGCTGCTGCTGGTTCTTTTATTTTTTATTTTTTAATTTTCTTTACCCGATTTCAAGCTGCCTTTGATATTTTTATTTTTTTTTTTTTAGTAAAAACTTTTGGATAATTACATTTGGCAGCGACTGTTGCTTTGGAAGCTAAGTCACCAATATATAACAACAAAATCTCTAAACACTGAGAAGCAAACAAAGTCGCAGATGCAATGCACTTTATAACAATTGGCTGAAGAGCCATTTAAAAAATAATGAAAAAAAAAAAAAAAATTTAAATAAAAATAAAATTGCATTTAAAATGTAATTCTTTATACAAATATAAGGCTCATGATCAGTCAATATCTGGCTTGCTTGTGTGCACATTATTCTGGTATTGACTGTAAACAAACGTCTTGGGAGTATGCTGAATATTTTTACAAGTACGTATTTTAATCACATACATACATATATTGTGATGGTGGGCAGCACCGGAACCACAATTCTGTGTAGTGTCAATCAAGCGGCCATTTTGTAATATCCGGCTTAAAATGTAATATGCGAAAAGTTGATGGAAATGCCAAGAAACGAACGATGAGAGGGGAAAATAAAGAGTAAGCCTCGCCCCCACATATACATATGCGCATAGTTTAATTACTTTTTGCGACCAGACGTGTATACCCACAATGTGGGTCTATAGCAGTTCTTATGTGCAGTCTATATAATTGCCTTCTGCTAGTTGACAAAAGGCTGAAGAGCACAAAGATGTGGGCGAAGTTCTGGGAGCGATGACAGCTGCGAGTGACAGCTATAGAAAATATTAGTGATAAGAGAGAGAACAGATAGTTATAGGATGATAAATAGAAAGAGAGCGAGGGCCATACCACCTGGAGTGGAACGGGCTGAGCAGTAGCGCAGCAAATGTATAGAAGAACAATTGAAGTTCTAAGCAGACGACACGACCAAATATTAGGGAGAGCGAGAGAGACTAGGTAAGGAGACATTTTAAAAATGTATGCAAATGAAAATAAAGACGAAAGCCAAAAGTTGATAACCCGTCGCCAGTTGCTTGTGGCTCGTTGCTCGTTGCCAGTTGCTGACACATGCCACAAACTGTGCACCACACACAGAACTCCAAAAGCAGTCAACACAAAAGCGACAACAATAGAAAAAGAGAGTGAAAAGGGCGCAGGGGGGGTGGGGGGTGGTTGAAGAGTTGTGGACTATTACCATTGTTGGCAGAAGCAGCCGCAACAGTTCACATGGCTCATTTTCTACGGTCAAAGGAAGCAGGATATTCTGGATATATACAACAGCAACAGCAACAGCAACAGCAGGATATGCCAGACCACTTTTTTATGGTTTGCGTCTTTCGGGCCAACTGCGTTTGTCGCTCGACCCATACATAGACGCACGACACATGTATAAATCTGCTGCATGAATGAAATATGGCAAATGTCATTTAACATGACAACTTGATGATAATAATAACAATAACAACAGGAGGAGCGCAGGAGGTGCCAAGGGTATACCAAATATCTTACGGAGAACGTCACACAGC